GCTGGGAAGCCTTGAATACTAAAGAGAGAAGAGACTCACGCCCTCGGGACTTCAGCTGTGCCGCCCACGCCCACCGCAGTGCCAGCGTGGCCAAAGAGCCAGCGTGGGAGGGGATGAAAATGGACAGATTCGTCATCCACCTTTGAGCCCCCACAAAAGAGCGTGTGGCCTGGGTTGCAAAAATACTGAGCCCTGGCTCCCCACTTTATGACCCAGGAACAATGTAGACGTCTTGGGGTGGTTTCCGGAAGGTAACCTGGAGATGAGGAACAGCGTCAAGCCTTTAGAAGCCAGAGAGCGGTTCCTATGGCAACCCTGACGGCAAGGACCACCTGGATCCTGCAAGATTACGTCCTTCCAGGGACAACGCCCTTGGAGGTTTTTACGCCCTAAAAAAAAGCCCGGATCAGATTATTTGGTAAAGACTACAAAGGCGAAGACCGAGGGGGAGAAAAGAGGACCGGAAAGTCGGGATAAACTCCCGCATTAGCGCTTCGGCCTGCTCAGCCCGCAGATTCCAAAGCAGGGATGCGAGTCCCAGCAACAGGCCTGCCATTGGCATGGAGGCAAAATACTGGCTTGTGATTGGCTCTTGCCGTGCGTAGGCTGGAAGGAGATCTCCCGGAGGGGTGGGGCGGGGCCGAGCCGCAGCCCCGCCTAGCTCACATCCGGGTACCTGGGCATCCCGAAATGGCCAGAGGTGGGGGTAGTGGTCACTCTAAGAACGCATGGCTCTCCTGTGCACACACGCAGGCAGCACAAGTCTTCGTCTGAAGTCCAGGTGTTTGGGGAGGGGGGCAACCAGACACCCGGGAATGGAGACCTCAGATTGGCTGGACTCGCGCTCGCTCGCTACTGCTGCCCACAGGGTCTGGGCGTTCGCTGGGAGCTGAGAGCTTCTGGAAGCAGATACCCGCACTAACAGGGACAGCTGTAGAACCTCAGTGTCCACCAGGAGGAGGCAGAGGACGACGGTGCCGGAGTCCCTGAGGGCTATGGGGAACAAATCCCAGTCTTGAGCCAGGAAAACTCCTGAATTCCAGCACCCCCAACTCCAGGGCATTGCATTCAGCCTCATTCCATTTTGTAACCAGGTAATAGTTCAGGGTCAGGCTAGTTGACACTGTTGCTTCCTTGGTCTGTGTGAGAGCAAGAGAAGAGAGGATTTATTTGTGTTTGTGTGTGTGTGTGTGTATGGAGAGGAGAGGGTCTAACTGTATAGCCCTGGGTGACCTGGCTTCGAACACACAGCAGTCCTCAGACTTCTTCCTTCGGAGATTACAGATGAATGCTGTACTCTCAAGGCTGACCGGTTGCTTTTTTGTTTTATGAGACCAGGTCTCAGGTAGCCCAGGCCAGTCTCAAATTTACAGAAGCTGGCCTTGAACTCCAGATCCTCCTTGTCGAGAACCCCCAAGTGCTGTTACTTTTTGCATCCCATCTTTTATTTCCAAGACTGGCTTCATGTAATATAGGGTAGTTTTTTTGTTGTTTTTCGAGACAGGGTTTCTCTATTGTTTTGAAGCCTGTCCTAGAACTTGCTCTGTAGACCAGGCTAGCCTGGAACTCGCCTTCCTCTGCCTCCCGAGTGCTGGGATTAAAGGCATGTGCCACCAACGCCCTGCAGGTATTTTGAACCTAAACTTGCAATTTTAAATTGTGTGTGTGTGTGTGTATACACAGGCATACGCAGAGACCAGAAGAGGGTGCTGGGATGATCTCTATCGTTTTCTACCTATTCCTGAGGCAGGGTCTTTTCCTGAACCTGGGATTTGAATTTCCTCAGCTAGGCTGGAAGGCAGAAAACACCAGTTGATGGTCCTGTGGATCACAGGTCGCTTGGCTTGCCCAGTGGGTGCTGGGTCCTGGCGAGTGTGAGTGGAACACTCTTCACATCCGGGCCACAGCTCCAGCCCTCAACCTTGAGCTGATCCCCGGACCTCCCCGAGTGCTGCGCTTTCGGGTGTGCCCCACCACGCCTGGTTCGCGCCGTCCCGAGGCTGGACTGCAGGCTCTGTGCACGCTAAGCATACGCTCCATCAGTTGAGCCACAGCCCATGTTGCTATTTTATACTTACCCAGCTTCATTTTGTCCATGACCCTAGGCTTGGTGTATGCCTTTAACCCCAGCACTTGGGGGGGGGGGCAGTGTTGTGAGTTTCCAGACCAGCATGGTCTACAGAGTGAGACGTCTTTTATGGCTCCTCTACCCCAGCAGTAGGATACGGTATGCTGGGAATTTCGCCAACATTTAAGATGACTGATATTCAAGGACTGACCTAAAATGCTTAGAGTCAGAACCAGCTGGACCCTTCATACGGGTTTACGCAGGGTTAGTTGCTGAATCTGTCTCGACTCTAATTTCCTGATTCAGGGCCAGGTTAGGATTTTTTTTTTTCGAGACAGGGTTTTCTGTATTGTTTTGGAGCCTGTCCTGGAACTCACTTGGTAGACCAGGCTGGTCTCTAACTCAGAGATCCGCCTGCCTCTGCCTCCCGAGTGCTGGGAAAGGCGTGCGCCGCCACCACCCGGCTAGGTTAGGATTTTTCACTCATCCATTACCCTCCCAGACTGAGAACTCAGCACTGAGGACGGGTGGCTGTATTTCCAGCAATCGCAGTTGCAGGACGAGGCAAAGTCTTCAACTGCAGGCAACCCCCCTCCTTTTTTTTTCTTTTTCAGGACAGAGCTTTTCTGTGTACCCTTGGCTGACGTGGAATTCGCTTTGTAGACCAGGCTGGCCTTGAACTCAGAAACCTGCCTCTCTCTGCCTGGGATTAAAGGCACATGCCACCACTGGCAAAACTCCTGGAAAAAGAACCTTTGTAAAGCACTGCTGTTCTGGTAACCACGTGGGACCCAAACGGAAAAAAAGCCAACCCTGTCATGTCTACCACGGTGGAAAAAGCTGATGTTGCTCTGTGGTGGTCAGAATAAGGTGTCTCTCAGACATGCTCCTGTTGGGAGGCCCCTGAGTACGGAGAGCAGCCACACTGTTTCCAGACATTGACAGCTTCAGACCAGCAGCATCCCTCACCAGGCCCATCGAGCAGTGGGAGATGAAGCAGAGTGGGGTTCAAACCTCCCTGTCTAGGTCTGAGGTCAGAAACCTGGTGTCCTTTCTGGGTGCTGGCTGTTTGGGCCTTGACAATGCCGGTAGTGGGCACTGCTGCTTAACGCCAGGCCAAAGGCCAAAGCAAACTCCTAAGCTGTTGGGCTGGGTGTGGTCAACACCTGTCACCTCAGAATTTGGGAGGTGGAGGCAGAACTAGGAGCTTGAGGCCAACCTGGGCTACATAAGATCCCATCTGTCTCAGACAAATCAGCTTGAATTTGTGCGTGTGCGTGCATGCACATGCACGGTGGTGGCTGGGCTGGTTTAGTTTTATTTGAAACAGGATCTTACCATGTAGCCCAGGCTGGCCTCCAACTCACACCCAGATGGTTTTGGGTTGTTGGTTTTTTGTTATGGTTTTGGTTTGACTCTAGCCCGGCGGTTCTCAACCTGTGGATCGAAACCCCTTTCTGGGTTTCTTATCAGATATCCTGAATATCAAATATTTATAACAGGCAAAATTAATTATGAAGTAGCAATGAAATAACGTTACGGTTGACGGTCACAAGGTGAGGAGCTGTATTAAAGGCCATTGCTCTAGCCCTAGCTGGCTTTTCCCTGGGAAGGCCCTGTCTTGTGTGTTGTGAACCAGCCCCCTCCTCTGTGGCCATTCAGATTGAACTGTAGGCCCCACAGCAGAACTGGAGCAATGACAGCAGGATCACTGGGCAAACTGTCTGTCCCACCTCAGGGTTCTGATTAGTCTGCTGGTTACTTAATGTCAACTCCCAGAAATAGAGACCGGTGTTACCAGGTTGGTTTTCAGAGGCCATTTCCCCACGCTTGCTCTGAGGCCTAGGCTGTCATTCTTAGCCACTCAGATCACCCTGTGAGTCAACACGAAGGCTCAGCTGACCAGCGTCAAGGCCAACACATGTGGTAATCACGCATAAATAGAGTGGGGAAAACAGCACCTCTAACAGTAATGGATCTGCCTGGCAGAAAGGCCCCACCGCGATCCCACCTTCAAAGTTCTTGGATGGAGCTCTACTGGGGGGGGGGACCAAGCACATGGGTAGATCACTCCATTGGAACCACTGTTTTCTTGAGACAGGCTCTCCCTGTTTTGGTTGCTCAGTCAGGCTTTGAACTTAAGACCCTATGTCAGCATCCAGGGTATTCTGCCCATCTTGGTCGGTATATTCTAAAAAGCCTGAAGCAGACATGCTGAGTTGAACTGACACAGGGACTAGACTCCTTGTCCTACTACTGCCTTGTCCTACCTAGTGCCTGTCACTGAGCCTCAACCCAGGCCCACCCAAGCCTCTTGAAATACTTGTGATGGGGAAACCTCAACAGAGCCCTTCAAGGTGATGGAATACCCAAGTGCTAGGACTGAACCCGGCCTTGAGCGTGTAGGCCAGCACGTTACCCGCTGAACTACATGCACCCTACTTATTGTGTATGTTTTTATTTTTCCCCAGAAGAGTCTCACGAGCCCAGTAACTTGCTGTGTAGACTGGGTTAGCCTCAAACTCAGAGCTCCCCAGCCTCTCCGTCCCAGGTGCTGGACACCTGGCTCACTTCTTGGGCTATTGAGACAACTGGAATACAGGCTGGCCCGGAATTTGTGGTTCTCCTGCCTTAGACTCCCAAGTACTGGGAACACAAGTGTAAACCACCACACTCAACTTGCTTTGTCACTGTGTGTGTGTGTGTGTGTGTGTGTGTGTGTATGTGGCTGAGATCAAACCTAAATCCACCCACCTGCTAGACAAGTGCTCTACCAGCGAGCTACACCCCCGTCTTGATTTTATGTATTGTCACGCCCCCACAGCACCACCCAGCCTCATTCCTGAGTGGGGGTGGAGGACACCCACTTCCAATCAAACCTTTAAAAACAAAGCAGTTAAACCCTATTAAACGAAGCTAGGTAGCGCTGACATCAGATCTGTGCGTTTATTTTGCTCAATGTACGACGGCTACATAATGACTCACATTCATGAATATTCCATCACTGAGGAAAACTGCTAAGAATGGTCCGTGTGCGAAATAATTCCTTAGCGAAACACGGAGTTGAGGGGGAAAAAAATCACTTGATTAGACCTTAAAAATAGTTCACTGCATAACATGACGAGAAAGCACACAGGCGCATTCAGAGAACGTCCGTGGCGTTCTCCTACACTGTAATAGTTATAATTTCACCATGACAAACACCAGACATTAAGAGTAAGCTAACACTGGTGTTTCTTTAGTCCCCTCCCCCCTGAAAAACAAAATATAGAACTGCATGTCACTATAGCAACATCCAAAACAGATCAATTTGTTACAATCACTATTTGGTAAAGCAAACTTTACCCCTGAAAGGAAAAACTTAAATTAAAAAAAAATTTAAAAAATGTTGAAGTCTTAGTTTTTTTGTCATAGGAATACATAACACCTACAGTATAAGTTAATAAATGTCAAGCTACCGTATAGAAATACAACACCAGCATGCACAATACTGCATCAATAGGACGGAGGAGCAACCGCGGCACTGGAGGCAGCATCACAGGCAGGTGCGCTTCAACAGTCAAGGAGAGGAGCAGAAACCATCTAAGCTCAAACATCGGTCTCCCGCTCTCCCCTCTTCAGGTCTACCCTCTCACATGATCTTTCTAGAACACAGCCAGGGTCAAGACTGAAATGTAAAGAGAAACTAGGTCTTGCAATTCCAGTAGATGGTTTCCAAACAGGACAAGCGGGACAAGAACATGCTCACTGCGGACACAGACAAACTAGGTGAAGTCCCACTGACCCCGTCCATGGCTCTGGTGGCCAAGCTTCCTCCCTCGGTTCTTCCAGGGGCCTCGGCTGGGGGTACTTGCTCACTAGCAAGAGGGGCCTCTGAGGAAAGGCATGCTTGGACTGGGCAGAGGGACAGTCCTACACATCACAGCATCCGCTCAGCATACTCACTTCTCACACGGGAGCTTGCTTTTGGTATGGGAGAAGGTGGCTGCCAGCTCGTTGTCTGAACACAAGGAAAGCACGTTTGGGGGGTTGCCCATCTTGGGAATCCATAGGACCATGGATCCTCTAGAAGAGAGAAACTGTACACTCTGCATGCAAGTGTATGCATGTTTATGGATAGATTTACCCACAGTGAGAAAGGGACTGGAGCTAAGTGAGACGGACCATGTAGGACACAGCAGCAGAGCTTCCTTCAATGTCATGTGTGCAGTGACCTCTCCATACAGAGGCCGATCTCCAGCATCTATGCTCTCATTCAAAAGGAAAAACCAGGAAAGCTTAGGTGAAACAGGCAGAGAGCACCCCCTAAACATCAGCTCCCCTCCACCAAGCACGTGGGGAAAGAGCTGGGTGGTGAGGGGTGGCGGGACAGCTGACTTGGGGACCAGGCTCCCACACTGGACAGGACTGAGTGAAGCTGGCTGTGATCACCCTCTACAATCACATGGCCTCCAGACGCTGCATGCCCACAGCACCAGGTGTGGGGAGACTCAGTGCCGAGAAGCGGGCATCAGGCAGTGAGTGAGGAGGGAGCCCTAGCTGCTGGGGAACAGCGTCTCTGAAAATACCAACGAGAAATGGCATACAGACCTGGATTTTCTCCATTTTCTCTGTGTGGCGCCTAACAGGTTCTATTTTTGTGGTGGGCTTAACTTAAAGAGTAAAGAAGAACTTAAAAAAAAAAAGTATCCCGCAGCCAGCTACCTGCCAAGCACCCATTAACCAAAACCCAAAAGGAGGTTCTGATTCTCAACACTGTAGGAGCTGAGGAACAGCCAGACCAACCTGGACACAGCAGGACACGGACGCAAAGCTGAGCTGACAAAGGAAAACTCAGAACCAATGGCTTCATGTCGTGTATGGCTGTCGTGTGGAAATACTGTAAACTAGAATTTAGTGTTAATACTGTCAACCCACCAGACTCCCGAAAACAGGCCCAGGCCTGACCCATCCATAAAGGTCGTGTCTTCCACTCTAAGCCTGTCCACTTGGGTAACTTTAAACTATGCCTTCTCTGGTAGTGATCACCCTGGGGAAAGGGAAAAGAAAAAACAAAATAAAAAACCTAGCACAGCCACAACAGAGAGAAAACAGCCACAGAACTGAAGACGAGAGTGTGGACAGAATTCTTACTGGAACCACAGAACACACTGAATGAGGGCCATCCATCTCCAGTTTCTCTTTGTCTTAAACCCTACCGTCTGGCAATAAGTTAAACTAAAGGCAGACTGCTCCACTTGCACGAGCCTGCGACAGTCCGGGTGCCTGTGTGAGGCCGCTGCTCCGATACCAGCATAGCAAGCCTGACTTTCCACTAGTGGTATTTTGGCAAAAATGTCAAAGAGGCGATCAAAGACAGGACAGTCGTGGGTTTCTCCCTGGGAAGGTCAGCCCTCCCTTTCCCCTCCCCCACCCGACCCCAACTCATGGGAAAAAAATAAAGACTGCAGTAGTAGCATCAGCGTGCGCTGCCAGTCCACCCGGGGCCTTAATTGTTGCCTTCGCCGCCGTCGTCGTCTTGCTGGTCGCTTGTCCAGAGCGTTAGGTTGTCTCGGAGCAGCTGCATGATCAGAGTGGAGTCCTTGTAGGAGTCCTCGTTCAGAGTGTCGAGCTCGGCGATGGCGTCGTCGAAGGCGGTCTTGGCCAGGTGGCATGCTTGCTCCGGGGCGTTCTGGATCTCGTAGTAGAAAACGGAGTAGTTGAGCGCCAGGCCCAGCCGGATGGGGTGGGTGGGCTGCATGTGCTCCTTGCTGATCTCGTGGGCTTCGCTGTAGGCCTTCTCGGACGACTCCACCACGGTCGCCCGTTTCTCCCCGGTGGCCACTTCAGCCAGGTAGCGGTAATAGTCCCCTTTCATTTTCAGGTAGAACACTTTGCTCTCGTACTGGGTCTCGCTGCAATTCTTGATCAGGTAGTTATCCAGCAGGCTCAGCACATCCTGGCACACGGCCTCGAGCTCCTTCTCGATCTTCTCCCGGTAGGCTCGGACCATCTCAATCTTCTTCTCATTGCCATCCGCAGAGGTTTTCTGCTCGATGCTGCTGATGACCCTCCAGGAGGAGCGGCGAGCCCCAACCACGTTCTTGTAGGCAACTGACAGAAGGTTTCGTTCCTCGTTGGACAGCGGTTCATTCAGCTCGGTCACCTAGGAGAAAGGAGCCCAGCATCGTTACGACAGGAGATGATGATAAGGTCATTAGCCAGGCAACTAGGATGCAGAAAGACAAACTGTGCTCTGCTGGGCGGAAGGGGACTGAGTGACAAGAAGGGAGACACGCACACGGATTCCACGGCAGAAAGCACCACTGTCTGCCTCAGGAGTGCCTGCCAGGCCAGTCTTACACGCGAACGCCCCTCAAGCGAAGTGTCAAGAGCTCCCATGTAACACGGACACACAGCACAGCTGGCATGAGATGGCCGTGTGCACACTCAGCGGCTCCCAGGAAGGGAACAAGTCTCCTCACTCTGTCTTGTCCCCTTATTTGAGTCCTAGCTCCTCTGGGAAAGAATGAGTCACCCTCAGAGACTTGAGAAAAAATCTCCTATGCTACCACCAAATGACACAGGACAGAAAGGAGGTCAACACTGGGAGACTGGGCCAGACGAGGGGCTCAGAGGGTGAAGTTGCCCCCTGTCAAGCCTGACAACTGCGGTTTGACCCTGGGACCCACAGTGGCGAGCAATGATTCTCCCAAGTGTCCTATGGCCTCCACATGCCATGGAACAAAGAGGAATAGATGGAATAGAGTTTAAAAATGGGGCCAGGCGGTGGTGCTGCACCCTTTAATCTCAGCGCTCAGGAGGTACAGGTAGGCAGATCTCAGTTCGACGCCAGCCTGGTATACAGAGTGAGCTCTAGGACAGCAAGAGATACACAGAGAAATCCTGAAAAGCCAAAAGGAACTTTAAAAAATGGGGCTGGAGAGATGGCTTAGTGGTTAAGAGTCCTAGCTGCCCTGGACCTGGCGTTCGATCCCCAGCACTCACATGATGGGTCACAACCGTCTGTAACTACAAATCCAGGGGATCTGATGCCCTCGATGCCCCCTTCTGGCCTCTGCAGTTACCAGGCACACAAGTGGTACATAAACATAGATAGGCAAAACATGCATACACATAAAACTTGAGTTCAGGGTCAGTCTACACAATAAACTTAAAGAAAAAGAGGGGGGAAAGGACCTAGAAACTGAAGATTCTGACCACTGTGGAATTTTAGCAGACAGGGAAAATGGAGTTAACACTAATGGTCCACAACACCTCCCAGGGCTGGGGCTTCAGCTAAGCAGTAGAGCACGTACCCTACTAGGTTCAACTTGCAGGTCTGGGAAAGACACGGAGGGACAAGAGAGGCACCCACTTGGCACTGGAACCAGGGCTGTGCACGCGCGTAAGCACGCACGCTCTATCACTGCACCATGCTGAGCCCAGTGTCGCTAACCTCCGACTTCCTCATCCTAACGCAGGCGAGAGGAAGAGCCGGCTGTGGTGCTGCTAGGACTCAGAGCAGGAGTCAAGCCGGAGGCGCTCTCTGTTGTAGTGGTTACTACCCTGTGCGAACACCACCCTGAACGGCACCAGCTGACATCCCGTCAGTTGGGGGCCTGACCATTTCAGGGGGACATCAGGAAGGAGCGAGAGTCTGCAGAGGCCATGGGGACAGCAGCCCTGCTTCCTGGCTTGCTCTCCATGACTTACTCAACTCAGCCTCTTTCTTTTACCATCCACGCTCTGCCTGGGGTAGCACAGCCCACAGTGGGCTGGGCCCCCCACAGCCTCACCCACAGATGACTCTAGCTGGTGTCAAGTTGATAAACAAAGCCCAAACAAACAAACAAACAAAAAAGGCAAAAGACAAGAACAAAACAAAAAACCCAAACCAGCCAGGATGCCCGTGCTCGAACTCTGGGTTCTTGTGCTTCAGCCTCTCCATGGCTGGACTGCAGAGTGGCCAACCTGCCTCACTCTTGCTCAGTTCTAAAGCCTACTCATCAGTACAAGGTAAGATTAGGTCTGCTGAGTGGTCTCGGGGCCAGCCATTCCATTTCTCTGGGTTTTGACTGCTTTATCTGTGTAGCCTCACCATTACTTTTTAGGTGGTCTTGGGTATCAAACCCAGGTCTCTGGCATGCTAAGCTAGTCCTCTATCCACTGAGCTGTATTCTGAGTATCACTCATAAAAAAGCATATATGTTCATGGGTTATCCTCAGGTGTTTGAGACTTTTTGGGGGGAGGGGAAGAACAAGGTCTCACTGCAACATAGTCCCAGCATATGGGAGGCAGAGGCAGAGTCTGAGGCCAGCCTGATCTACAGAGAGTTCCAGGACAGTCAGAGCTACACAGAAAAGCCTTGTCTCAAAACAAAAACAAAAGAGACTACAACGCAGTGCTAGCTTGTCTATAACTCATCCACCCGTCTCTGGTCTAGCGCGGTGGGACTAAAGGTTTGGGTCACCGTGCATAAAGCACCCGTGCAGACGCTGTGTGATGCAGGTGTGGAGTGAGGTCTTTGAGGCCACCTTGCATCTTATACCCTTCATCCAGCAGTGTCCCCAGCGCCACCTGCGTTTCTCATCAACAGCCACCTCTGCCACCTTCCCGGGTGGAGTGTCTCTTTGGCCGACACTTTTTTTTTTTGGTTTTTCGAGACAGGGTTTCTCTGTGGCTTTGGAGGCTGTCCTGGAACTAGCTCTTGTAGATCAGGCTGGCCTCGAACTCAGAGATCCGCCTGCCTCTGCCTCCCGAGTGCTGGGATTAAAGGCGTGAGCCACCAACACCCGGCTGGCAGACACTTCTTTAGCTCTTGATATTCCTTCCATGAAGCTGTCTGCAAAGAACTAACTCCTCAGACAGACTGGGACACAGGTCTCTGCAGAAACTGACGCCCTGCTGCGGTGCAACCCCATCACTGTCTCAGATGTCAGAGCAGCTCAAGTGCCCGCAGCCATGGAGATCCAGTTCTGGCCTTTGCCCTAAATCATGTTGTCCTTATTTCAAGAGCCTGGCGCTATTTAAAGCTCTGGTGATCTCACCAGCACACTACACCACTGGCTCAGCTCTTGCTACAGAGGACTTCTGGCTGCAGAGCCCAGAAGCAGTGGGCCATTATGGAGACAGTTTGCCTCCTTGTCAAAGACCGTAACATGGGAATTGTGCAAGGCCAAGGGGAACCTTTACCTAGAGTAACTCAGTCACATCTGGGACAGTCTCTGCGGTCTTCGCCAGGGAAAACTAAGTTAGAGGGGAAAACCTTAGGCTCTAACAAGTCTGCTCAAAGCGAAGGAAGGAGCCAGGAGGCAGACCCATCATCTGGGCCACTAAGGAGGCAAAGGATGGAGGGCAGGACGTTCAAGGAGACCGCCTGAGTACAGAGCAAGTTCAATACAAGCCTGGGAGACTTGGAGAGACCCTGCCTTAAGTAACATGAGTGGGTTGGGGGCATGGCTCAGTAAGACAGTACTTGCCCAGCATCCCCAGCACCAAAACACAAAAATAGTATTTTTTTTTTTTACCCTTAAAAATCTTAGATCAGGTGGGCATGGTGGTGGTACACACCACTGATCCAGCACTGAGGGTGGGGAGTAGAGACAGGAGGATCTTTGTGAGTTCAAAGACAGCTAGGTCTACAAGTCACCAGAGACCCTGCTGCAATCTCAAAACAAAAACAAAAGACCCTGAAGTCAGGAAGGGAGATGGTTCAGCACTTGGGAGCACTTCTGTTCTTAGAGAGCCCAGGTGTGGTTCCCAGCCAACACAACCCCCTGTAACTGCACTTCCCAAAGAATACCTCAGCATCCGTAACGCCATGCTTGCGTGTGCACACACAGTGCAATGTGCTTATGCTAAAAGGTTAATTTTTTTTTAAAACTAAACGCCTGAGTGTAGCTGCCCTCAGGTCACAGTGGGCATCGGGTCCCCTGGAGCTGCAGTTACAGGCAGTTGTGAATCACCCCATGTAGGAACCAAACCTAGGTCCTCTGCAAGAGCAGCACACGCCAACCTCTAAGCTATCTCAGGCCCCTGCACATTTTCATTTATGTTATGTGTTTCTGCTGCATGGATGTGCACTGTGTGTGGTGCCTGAAGATGCCAGGAGGGTGCTGAACTGGACGGTTGTGAGCTGTAGCTTGGGTGTGAGAACTGAACCTGGCGCCCTCATGAAGAGCTCTGAGCTTTGTTCCCTCACCATGCATGTGTATACGTGGATGCACACACTCCTGCATGGAGTGTCCGTGGAGATCAGAGGATGGATGGATGGCCTTGTAGAAGTCTGTCCTTCCTCCCATCATTTAGGTTCCAAGGATTGAACTCAATCCCTCAGGCTTGGAGGCAGGTGCCCTACCTGGCCCCAAAGCCTTTTTGGTTTTGTTTAAAATGGGGGAAATCTAGTAGTGTTCAAAAAGGGCTCAACCAAGGTAGAATGACTATTCACCATGAGATACAGAGCCAGGGAAGGTGTTTAACACCATCACTGAGTGCCCCGCGCCCGTCCCGTCCCGTCCCGTCCCCATCCCCCTTTTGGACACAAACCCTACTGTGGTTAGACTTGGCTGAACTGGAACTCCTAGAGATCTGTCTGGCTCTGCCTCCTGGGTACTAGGACTCGGTGTCCCCTCCACATGCTCTCTGCCTATCATGTGAGCGTGAAATGAAGACTACCTGTTCAGTAACTAGAAAACAGCACGTGTGAGTCCCTGTCCTTTACAGCTGAGTGACAGATGGTGGAGATGGAGCCCAGGCAAGAGTGCCAGCCTGGAACCATGGGCAGATGCTGGGTTTAAACTGCAGGGGTGGGGGGCTCCAAATTCCTACCTAACGTTTCTGTCAGTGACTATAGCACAAATAGAAAAATTACGAGTAAAAAGAATTGGGGAATCTGTAATTTCTGAACAATGTCAAAAACAAAACCCCCTAAATGACAGTTGCTCAGAAGGAGTCAGGTATTAGCACTGTCAACTGTTCTCCCAAGTCCTTACAACAGAGCAAAATCTTTCCAAGATCACCACCTATGGAAACCCTTGGGAAGCTACCTGGATGACTTTGACCTTAAAGCCCTGGAGAACCCGGTCATTCACAACACATCTGTAATGCCAACACTGAGGTCCAATACTGGGCCAGCCATAGTGGTGTATGCCTTTAATCCCAGC